CATTTACCAAATATTTTCCCTTTTAGGATCTTTTAGTAACTCTAGCAGTAATTCAGCTCAGGGTTTCCTTAACTTCACCTGACCTCCTTCCAAAGCATGAGAGCCTCCCACCCCTGTAGGCAATAGAGAAATGGAGAGAGCGCTCAACTTGTGCTGTAGCTCTGGTTGATCACATTCCCATTTGCACCATCCTTACTGACTTCCTTTGGATTTGGGGCTTTACCTATGTCTTGTCTGTTCTACTGGAATCTGCTCCTTTGCCTGCCCAGTTCTAAAGTTGGACACGCCCCTCCCCTTATTTGAAAGTCCCCTCTACAGAGTTTGGATTCCATGCTGTGGGATTCCATGCTGTTGGATTCCATGCTGTTGGATTCCATGCTGTGGGATAACACTTATGAGTCCTGGATTCTCATTGCCTTGCTTCTATAAGTATCAGCATCAGGTCCATATGAGACTTCCTTCTCCCACCTACTGCCAAAGAGCAATGCCAATTCTTTATATTGTGTCTGTCAAAACTACTAAATAAATTTTAAATATTAAGGAAAGGTCTTATTTCACGACTGAAACACCCTGGTCTTTACCTTTCTGTCCTCTACTGATTTCCTTCCCACCATCTGGCCCTCAGGCTGATTTACCTGTCAAGACGCTCCCCACCCCTTTCCACCCAATCCATTTTCTCCCCTTCCCCTCTCTCCCATTTTTTATTGATATGATGAAGCTCAGTTTAGCTACCTTCTTTCATTTCACCCTTCTCACTTTTTCTCACCCATTTCTGGTTCTACTCTGGCAGTTCAAATATAAGAACTGTTCTGGGATCAATCAACAGAGATCAAGAGTGAAAAGATGCTAGCAAACACAAGATTGTCTTCTGAATGGGAGGAAAGACAGGAACTGGAAACATTTAGATGTTATTTTAAGTGTGCAAGTGTCAGTTGCTCAGCTGTGTCCAACTCTTTTTAATCCCATGGACTGTAGCCCACCAGGCTCCTCTGTCCATGGAATTCTCCAGGCAATAATACTGGGGTGGGTTGCCATTCCCTTCTCCAGGGGATCTTCCCAACCCAGGGATTGAACCTGGGTCTTCCACATTGCAGGCAGATTCTTTATTGCTTGAGCCACAGGGAAGCCCAAAACTCCCATCAAAATAAATCATCATAAAACACTGCATAAATGGAATGAATGAATGTTCCCATAGAAATCAAGGTACAAAAAAAGATCTTTTTTTTTTTTTTTCATCAAGTCAAATCTGTTCCTCAGCCTGCCTTTTTAAGATCAATGGGATGCCTGATACCAATGTGTTTGTATCACTTCCTCCCCTTGCCACCCACCCTTCCTTGTATTATAACCAGGATCTTCAGCTTTTGTTCTTTCAGGAAAGTGGGAGAGAAGAGTTAGCCATTCATCACGGTCCCTACTGACCCTACTGACATCCTCCCCATCCAACTGCTGTGGGCACTGAGGGGCAGCCATCCACTGAACCCCATCCCTTGATGCCAGACCTATGCAGGGATATTCACTGTTGCTATGTCAGAGACCACATCACACAGCCTCCAGCCTCCATGGGCATTCCCAAGGCCTCTACCATCCTGATGTCATACACTCTGATTACAAGTTGTGCAAATTCACTGTTACCTTGTGAAGAGCTCTAATAATGTTATAGGAAATTTTATTTTATTCTATTAGTTTTGATTGACAAGTTAGTCTTAATGTTATGAAAAGTTATACAAAATGCAAAATAAGTGACTGTCTTTTAAATCTCAAAAGATTTCGTTTTTCACATATCTGCTTGTTAAGAGAGTAATACAAGATCTTTAAATTGTATTAAGGCTACATTTCTGATCTTCCATTATACAATCCAGTGACTGAAAACGAATTCTCCTTAATCAGAAAACAAAGTTAATTCTTGACACTGCAGTAATTTGTCTCGCTATATTGTGATATTTGTAGGGAGCTAAAATAGCATGACAGCACAAATCCTTCTGACTTGTGGGATTTCTAAGAAGATGGTTAAAATTGCATTCTGCAGTCATGCAAATTAGTATAGACCTCCTCTATAGCCTCAGGTACTGGAACAAAACAGGAGCAGTTCTCAGTATAACTAAGCTGTTGAGATAAACAGTCCAGACTCAAAACAGTAAATAAAAACCATCAATTCTTTGTTTCCCTAAGCCGATGAAGCTTAGAGTTCTATGGTGTCTCTTTACAAGAGGACAGCTAGGTGTAAGGAGTGTCATAGGGAATCTAAAGAGTTAATTGTTTTTAGATTCATTAAAAAAAACCTGATGTGTTAAATAGGTCTTTATCTTCTTGATAAATATATCATTCTTTCTATTTGCCAGGGTCACATGAACAGAACTACATCAAGAAGGCATGTATTTGGGTTTGTATTCACAGCAAGTGGTTCACATTCATGGATTACACACTGTGCCAGGAAATAGAACATATGGGCCACACTCTTAAAAATTTATATATACAGGGGCCCAGGACTTCAAACTATGTTTTATTCCATAGAAAGATCTAAATACACTTTACTAATTAGTCATACATGCGCACTTGCTAAATGCTGAGAGTTACTTGTTTGTTAGTTGCTCAGTCATGTCTGACAAGAATACTAAGTGGAGTGAGTTGCCGTTTCCTTCTCCACAAGGGATCTTCCCGACCCAGGGATCAAACCCATGTCTCCGGCATTGCAGGCAGATTCTTTCCCATCTGAGCCACAAGGGAAGCCCAAATGCTAATAGAGTTACTTGAGAAACCCAGAAAAAAAGAGATTTAACTCTATAGTTCTACTTTTCCTTTGAAAAGGAAAAAAATTTTCACTTACAACAGCATTTACCTAGAAGCTAAATGTTGTATTACCACAACTGGATGCCTGTTGAAAGACCATGATTTGGCCAATAGATTTTTGACAAAGGTGCAAAAACAATTCATTGGAAGAATGTTAGTCTTTTCAACAAACAGTGCTGGAGGAATTTGACATTCATAGACAAGGAAATGAACCTCAATATAAAACCTCAGACCAAAAATTAACTGAAAATGGATCATAGACTTAAATGTAAAATGGAAAACTAAAAATAAAATTAGAAGAAAACATAGTAAAATGACTTATGGACTTAGGGCTTGGATCAAACAAAGGCATGACGTGTAAAAGAAAAAATATCCATAAACTGACAGTAAAATTTAAAAATTTTGCTCTGTGAAAACTGTTAATAGGATGAAAGAAAAGCTACAGACTGGAAGAAAATGTTTGCAAATCACATATTTGACAAGGGATTTGTACTTGAAATATATAAATAATTACCCAAACTCACCAAGAAAAAATAATCCAAGAAGAAAATAGGCAACGAACATGAAGAGACATCTCACCAAGGGGAATATATAAATGGTAAACTAAGCAATGTTCACCATCATTAATCATTAGGTAAATAAATGCAGGTCAAGACGGTGATGAGCTATTACTGCAAATCAATTAGAATAGCTAAAATAAAAATAATTGCAACCCAATACAGGAGACAACACATGTGCCCTGCAGTTGAACTGTGGATTCTGAACCACTAAACCACCAAGGAAGTCCTTGTGTGGTGTCTTTAAGGAAAGGAGGGTGCAGTTAATGGAGAGAATATGTTCTTCATCAGTGATTCTCAGTCAGAGGTGCCTACTGCTCTAAAGAGTTTAACAGAGGCTTTCAAACTGCATCCCCAGTGATTACAGATTGGCTTCCTGGGGGGTGGCCCTTTGTTGAGAATTCTGCTATGGAGTGCTGTACTGCCGATGAGAGTATATGAATGGGAGTGTACAGGTAAGCATTTCCCAGGAGGGTGGAAAGGGCAGGGAGGATATATCTACTGTTCTACATAAAGGGAGTGGAATGAATTGTTCATTCACTCATTCTTTCACTCATTCATTCTAAAAACATTCAGCATATGTCATGTGCAAAGGTAATGTAAGAAAAAGGAAACATATTTTGTGTTGGCTAATGATGAGAATTAAGTACTTATGCATGCCACACATAGGGTTAGGAGTTTTACATATGTTAGTTCATTTAATCTCCCAGGTGACACTAGCAGTAAAAAAAATCTGCCTTCCAATGCAGGAGATGCAAGGCACGTAGATTTGATCCCTGGGTTGGGAAGATCCTCTGGAGTAGAAAGTGGCAACCACCCCAGTAGTCTGGCCTGGAAAATTCCATGGACAGAGGAGCATGGTGGGCTACAGTCCATAGGGCCACAGAGTTGCAAAGAACTAAGCAACTGATCACACATAACTTTGTGAAGCAGGAATAACGCACATCTCATGGATCAGGAAACCTGACCTCAGAGAGATTAAGTAATGTCCTGGGTACCACAGCTTCACAGTGCCAGGATAGAATGAAAGCCAATGAAATTTGGTTTTGATTTGCGTGCTTTCTGTATCTAACCCACTCTCTGTTTTCAGGGTCATCCTCTTCTTAAACAACTCCAGGGGGCACCATTCCTATTGAATTCTGCAAATGGTACCCCTGGGGCACAAATCAGGAGGGAAATCAAAATGGCTTTGATTAAAATGAGCTATTTCAGGAAGTTTATAGGTTAACTGTGGAGTGAGGACCCTGTGAGCACATTCCTAAAAACAACATAAAATAACAAAAGAGGATAGAGGTTGGAGGGATTCATTCTGCCAGTATTTGAGGGTGTGATATCTGAGAGAGTGTAGAAGAAGTGGCATTTGAGCTGAGCTGGGAAGGATGGATAAGCTCATGACAGATAATGGTGTGGGAGAGAGATTTTCCTGGAGAGAGAGTGGTATGTTCTCTAAGGGCTTTCCAAGGACTTAAGGTTAGTAAAATTTAGCTGGAAAAGGTTAGACTTACATTGTGGAGAAGATGGATAAGTAAGAGGGATAGAAATGAAAGATATGAAGTCCAAGCATACATACACCTTTATAGATATCTCGCCAATTCTGTATCTCGCCTCATTTCCTCCATCAATACAGAGAAGAATCTAGAACTGGTTAGAAGAGTGACACTGATAATGTAAAATCCCATCTACTATTCCAGTAATTTAAGATCTCAAAAAAATGAGGATATAATTCTTTATAAGTGAGCAGTTGAGTAGGGTCTCTGCACCTAAACCTCCTCTTTCCTCCTTCTAGCTCGACCTCCACATATTCAACTACCTTTGAAACATCAGGCTTTCCTTCCCAATGAGTTGGCAGTGTCTCCTTGGGAAAAATAAAGAAATTTGTTTTGCTGCTCCAAAAATCCAACTTGGTTAAGAATGAGGATTTTCTTGGCTCATAGATAAGACATCTCTCATATTCTTCCTACCCTGCTCTCAGATGTTCCTACCTCTCATCTCTTGACTGCATTGACTAGAGGGGCTTGGTTTGGATTTAGGTGCAGTAATTTGCTCACATACCACACAGAGGTTGTGAAGGAAATGAGCATGATATCAACTACTGCTGGGTCAATGGATTTGGGGAAATGAAGAAATGTGTCCCATAGAGATGAGTGCTGTTTCAGAGCAGTTTAAACTGTGTCCAGAAATTAGTTCCATAGGAAGAAAATTAAACTGTCCTAAAGTTCTGAACTCTGCTTTCACTCTGCCTACAGAGATGACAAGAAGTTACTTTCACCCCACCCACCCCTATCTACTATGACATGCTGCCCCACCCGGCTAGAGATGACAGGTCCAGCTGTATGCGGAGAATGCCATCATCAAGGAGATGCCTTTTCTGAAACTTGTGACATTCAGTTGGAAATCTCAGTGGGAGCGGAAGGAATCTCTGTTGGGAAGAGAAGGGTGAGCTCAAGGGCATCATCACAAGCTGGGCTTCCTAATGTGTAAAGAGAGTAGAAAGAAAAGGGAAATGCAGGGAGGGCTATGAAAGAGAAGAAGGTACAAGAAGGAATTAAAAGGGAAATTAAAACCAAAACAAAAAAAGCTTCAAAGAAAGAGAAAGGAAAAGAAGATGGAATGTGAAAGGAGATTTGGTGTTCTCCTTTTGTTAGATTGGGTTCAGTCCTGAATTTTAATTTTGATGCAGTGGAGCAGATACCATCCCTGAGAACATGACATTTTCAAAATAACCCCTTTCAGTCATTATATCCTGTTGCTCAGGCTGGTTTATTTGTTCCCTTCAGGATCAATCCAGCCATAATATCTAGAGTTTGTAAAAAAGTAGAATGGCTATAGACCAACAGAAATCAGCCAACCAATTCTTTTATATCCTCCAATTTTTCTATTATTCTTTTTTCCTAAGTCTCCCTGAAGGTCAGGGTTAGATATAAACTCTTGGTGTGTTTGCCAATAGACACAAACTTGAGTTCTCCTAGCACTTTCCCTGCCAATGTGCAGGCAAGAAAGGGGCAAGGTAGCCAAAGTGTAAAAACACTTTTGTGAAAACAAAAAGATTTCTGTACTCCAGTGGGATTCATTTATGAGATTCATTGAAGAGATATGATCTGGCTTACTGAAATCTAGCAAAATATTGCAACTGATCCTGAAATATGAAAAGGGTCTAGGAGGCATAGGTTCAGTCTTGGTCCTGTCGTGCCTAGTCAAACCTTTTCTCTGCTCCTTCCTGGGCTAATGATTGTGTTGAACACTAGAAGCTTTGTCTTCATAACACGTGTTTACATTGACAACATAGGAGACCTACAATGGAAGAACCTGGACAGGACCCAATGGATGATGTGTAAGTAACATGAACGAGAAACTAGTATGGGAAGCATCTACTGCAACCCAGTAAGGAAGAAAACCGTGACTGTGCAGGACAGTATCCTCAAGTCTGGAAGCCTTCCTGGGGAGGAAAGGCATTGGTTTCAGTTCTTTGGACTTCATGAGACTAGAAGTGGGGTTTGTAGAGATAGCCAATGTCTCCAAAAGCAAATCAGTCTTATTTGGGGGAAAAGGCCCTCATCCTTGCCCCTTACCCAGTCCATGTTCCTACATGACTAGTGCAGAAGGTTTTCAATATAATAAACTCCTTAGTAGACTATAACAAAGGAAGACTGCAAACATGCCTCTTCCTTGAATTCTTTATGGGTGTGGCGTGGAGTCCACATACTCTGTATAAAGTTTTTGAAAACAAGTAAGCTAGAATATAATTATTCAAATTAAAAAAATATTTCTTTTGTTTCATAAAAGATTTGTGTTGGAATGGGTTCCATTTGTAATATTTAAAATTAAGATGTGATTTGACTCCAAGGATTTGCTTTATGCAAAACATCATAGAAAGCAATTTATTGTGGACAATGATAATGTAAGGCTGGTGAGGCATAGTGACAACAAAAGACAGGGCAATAAATGAGATGACAGCTGCTGTGTTTCCTGTCCTGAGTTTAGTAGTGAAGATGATTTTCCTGCAGGCAAGAGGTGATGGAAATACCGAAACTAGAAGTCACAAAGCAGAACCTGGACTCTCTGAACTCAGACCTTGAAAAGGACCTGCAGAGAAGGGATGAGGCAAATCAGGTTCTTCTCAAAAAAATTCAAGAGAAAGAAGAAACCATTCGAAGGTCAGGCTTTGTAGCTGGATGGGAAAGGTCTCCTCATCTGAATGCCCCTTGGGATCAAGAGGTGGGTGGGAGGAAACTTTACTTCTTTGTCCATGAATTGAGGCAAGTTGTTTAAATTCTGAACCATAAACAGCGGTGTCCTCAAAAGGTTTTAGGTACAGATTTTTCACTACATTTCCACAGTAAGTCATTATTTTATTGCCACTGCATTGGGTGGTCACTTTGGCTTCCTGAGACCTTGGCAGTAGCTTCTCAAGCTGGGACCCTGGCAGCTTCCTTTGGACTGAGCCACCCCTGGGTGACTTATGTTTCAGTCTGGAAAGAGATATCATGCTGTCGGTCAGACAAGCCAGAGAGAGGGAGGAGCTGAACCACCTCATATCTGAGAGGGAGGAAGCCCTACGGGACCTGGAATTAGAGACGGCAAAGCTGGTAAGGAGGTGTCTAGAAAAGGACAGTGTGATGCATTTTGCTGGCAGTCCACCACTCTCTCTTTCCCAGGGGACCATCATCACTGGTCACTGCTGTGTCTGTGGAAATCACAGCTGTCTAACAGAGTTTGGGGCATGATGTGCTCAGCATGGGGGCGAGACCTGGGCTCTGTTCCCAGATCCTCTGTGTGGGGCCCTTGTCCCTGGATGGGATTTCAGTGGCCCAGTGAGGAACAGGGTTTGAGAGCAAGGTGCGGTTTGTATCCTTTACCTCTTTCTTTCCCCAGGAAAAAAATAAGGAAATTCTAAGCAGGAGCGTGGTGGAGGTGCAGAAGGAGGTAAGGTGGGCCCTGCATTTTTTTGGGGGGGAGGTGGTGATCCCAGGATAATAAGCCCACTCTTGAAAGGAGGCTCATTTCTTAATAGTCCCAATAGGGTCCATCATCTTCCTGAACTCCCCAATCAAAGACAGGAGGAAGAGGGACTGGCAAAATGTGTGTGCTCCCTCCCAATCCTCCTTCCAAATCTCTTAGAACAAACTGGCTAATTGATACCATCCTTTGTCCTCTGGGAATTACAGCTCTGGGATGGGAAGTCTAAAGGAATGTGAGAGGAGAGAATTGTTCCTCCCTCCCACAACTGCGATGCACCAGCTTCTCTTCCTTCTCCCCCCACCTGCCTTGCCTCCTTTGTGCCGTACTTTTCATGGGCTCTGGGAACAAAAAGGTCTGTTCAGCTGGCGTGGAGTCAGGCAGATTCCAGAGGAAGGAAGAGACACTCTTCTATTAAGCTTCCGTCTGGGATCTGAATTAATTAACCACTGTTCTCCTACTTTGAGACCTTCAAGTCTGACTCTATCCCACGTTTCCATGTCCGGATGCCTTACTCAGTTTACAATTTGGGGGGTGGTATTTCAGATTTCAAAGAAATCTAAGAATGTTGGCCTGGATAAAGAAGCCCTAAAGCAGATGCTGGCAGAACTGAAGGTGAGTAGAAAAGCAAATCTACCGATTTTCTGGGAGATGTGGTGTCATTCTAATTTGGGGGAGGAATAGCTTCCAAGAACCCACCAGGCTAAGTCTGTTTGTGCGCTCACAGAGGTGAGCCACTGTCCTTTATTCCCTCTGCTTTACCCCCTTACCTGGGCGGCACTCATAAATTATTTTGCAGCATTCATAACTTTAGTTTTAGTCACACTGGTGGCAGAGATGTCTACAATGCCCCAAAGTGAAGGGAATTGCTCCAGAGACCTCTTCATCCATCAGCCAATAAAACATACATTCTGAATGCCCTCTAAAAATTTATTATCTAAATGACACACAAATACAGATAGTCAAGGAAGAAGAGAATACTAACTTCCACAATGGCAGAAGGATAGGTCAACAATTGTAATTGATTTTCTAACCCATTGTTTATAACTTAAGGGAGTTTTTTTTAAATTTAATTGAATGTTTTACTAGGTGGTAAACCCAATGAGGGCATGAATTTTTGTCTGTGTGCTTCACACCTATTTCCCCAGTGCCTAGAATGCCTGGCACATGGTAGTAGTTTGGTAAATATTTGTTGAATGAAAAGATGACTTGGATGCCCAGTAGAGGGCAGAAATCTTATTAAGATGCTCTCTGCAGCTTTATGTGTGGCAAATATGACCATTTGGCTGAGCCCAGCATGCCAGAGCACTCCTGTTCTGTTTTTCTCTGAAAAAGAGGCAGAAGGTTTCTCTTTTGCTCTGTGATTCAGGCTGCATGAGTGCACCCAGTGGAGTATAAGATGGAGGAACCGGTTAGCACTTTGGGCAGTAGGACTGGAGGAAGAAGGGTGATTAGGTCCAAAGACTGGGCAATAAGAAAACCAAGGCTTAAACGCTGACTCTGCCACTGTGTGATTTTAAATAAGTCATGCACTTAACCACTCCTTGCTTTTGTCTCCTCCTCACCTGTAAATGGGCCAATAATGTTGCCCACTCCAGAGTGTCATGGTCTGTCCTCACTATATGATAGGCATTATTATCATGCCCTGGGCTTCTCTGGTGGTTCAGCGGTAAAGAGTCCGCCGGCAGTGCAGGATACAGCTTGCAATGCAGGAGACGTGGGTTCGATCCCTCGATCAGGAAGATCCCCCGGAGAAGGACACAACTTAAGAGACTAAACCACCACCACCATTGTCATGCTCATTGCCTGTCTGGGGGAAGAGGAATATTACCCATTTGCTTTCACAAAAGAACGCTCTCAACCGTCTGCTGTCTTTAACAGGTGAAACTACAGGAGTCAACAGAATCCTGCGCCAGTCAAGAGGAGGAGTTGGTCAAGGTAGAGGTGGAGTCTCCTCCCCTGCGGGTCTGTTCAGGATACAAATGAGACAGAACCCCAGAGGTTTTAGAAACTGAACAGTTGGAGACACGGGAGGGGGAGGAGCAAGAATACCTGGCAAGTGAATTTCTGACTCACCAGCAGGCAAAGGAAAACAAAGCTTATATTAAAAGTACTGGTCTTGCCATTCCTTAAATACCCGTCTACCTCAAATACTCAAACACTGTTGTTGAAGCCCATATCTAAGTGCCCTGAAACATCTCCTGATGTCTCATGTAAAAGGCATGTGAGAACCTGGGAAAACAACTCTCTCTGCTCAAAATTAGACCCTGCCCATGAATGATGAGATCACCGGCTTTATGATGTAGTTGCTTTCCCTGGTAAGAAGTTGCTAGGTAACCAGCCAAATAGCCAATGCACCAGTTGGGAGCAGCCCAGGCTTCGTTGTGACTTGATCCATGAAATTTGTTAATTCTCTTTTCTTTCTAGATAGAGAGTGACTACCAATCTGTGTATCAGCTCTGTGAGGATCAGGCCCACTACATAAAGGTACACGGCCTCTGGGGACAAGTCATAGTGGAGGCAGAATTGTTCCAGTGCTGTGGATCCTTTGGTTCCTCATTTAGGCTAAAATCTGCCACTGGGGGAAATATCCTTTATACAACAGCAGCAAGAACAACAAGAACCAGATGTATGTTAAGGATTTATTCATACTGGCACATATAGCATTTTTAAGCAATCAACATACAGTATTTTTCTCAATTAGTTTGTCCAGTAACACTTTGAGGATCATGTTGTTATGATCAAAAGGACACAGGTTCAAAGAAGTCTGGTAATGTGCTCTAAAAACATAGATAGTAAGTGTGAGAGCTGGGATTTTCCTACAAGCAGGATCCAAAGAGAATTCTTTTCCCTTTTTATCCATATGCATCCATCCAGTCACTAATATCCTAATTTTTATTAGAACGTCTTCATACTTGTGTGTGTACATTCTTGCATGCACCATTTGGAAAATTAAGAGTTAGTCTTAAGAGAATCTTTTATCAATGACATTGAAATGATATATACAGAAATTCTTGATTATGATCAATATTTTTTTTTATTTCAATGGGAAGAAATACCAACAAATTCTGAGACAGATGGAAAAGGAAAAGGAGATGCTGCTTCTCGAAAAAGAAGTGTAAGTTTGGGAAAATCACCTCATTGGTGGGATGAAGCTATAATCCCCAGTGGTCCTTGAAGGGCAGAGTACTTCTCAGACCAGTTTGTATCACTATAAATAGCCCCTATCAAGTCATCCCTGTCAACTTCTGCTCCATATTCTGTGCTGAAAAATCATCAGCATTCAGGCTTCTCTCTTGCCTTCTCAGCAGTTGGTGTTTAAAGGGTCTCTTTTTTATGTTCTTTTTTCATGCATCTTCAGTTGAGTATTGTTCTTGAAAAAACTGATTGTGCTGACCCCTTTCCCAGGACATGGTGAACCCCCACTGGGGGCCCCAGTGATAGCCATTTACATACGTTCTGTATTTGTAGACTTGCATGGTTGAGGACTTGACACACTTTCCCTTGTTTGCTTATACTCTTCAACCTTGTTATGTATTATATTGTATTATGCAATATACCGAGAGTGCACAAATCTCAAGTGGTGTGTTAACACGACTCAGATCAAGACATAGAACATTCTGAGTACACCAAAAGGCTCCCTGTGCTCTCTTCTCAGTCATCGTTTCTTGAATATATACAGAAATTCTTGATTATGATCAATATTTTTTTTTATTTCAATGGGAAGAAATACCAACAAATTCTGAGACAGATGGAAAAGGAAAAGGAGATGCTGCTTCTCGAAAAAGAAGTGTAAGTTTGGGAAAATGACCTCATTGGTGGGATGAAGCTATAATCCCCAGTGGTCCTTGAAGGGCAGAGTACTTCTCAGACCAGTTTGTATCACTATAAATAGCCCCTATCAAGTCATCCCTGTCAACTTCTGCTCCATGTTCTGTGCTGAAAAATCATCAGCATTCAGGCTTCTCTCTTGCCTTTCTCAGCAGTTGGTGTTTAAAGGGTCTCTTTTTTATGTTCTTTTTTCATGCATCTTCAGTTGAGTATTGTTCTTGAAAAAACTGATTGTGCTGACCCCTTTCCCAGGACATGGTGAACCCCCACTGGGGGCCCCAGTGATAGCCATTTACATACGTTCTGTATTTGTAGACTTGCATGGTTGAGGACTTGACACACTTTCCCTTGTTTGCTTATACTCTTCAACCTTGTTATGTATTATATTGTATTATGCAATATACAGAGAGTGCACAAATCTCAAGTGGTGTGTTAACACGACTCAGATCAAGACATAGAACATTCTGAGTACACCAAAAGGCTCCCTGTGCTCTCTTCTCAGTCATCGTTTCTTGAAAAGGTAACCGTGATTCTAACTTCTATCATTTCTTCTTGGTTTTGTCTGATCTTGAACCTCATGTGAACTCAGGATGTTTCACTTGTCTCTGGCTTTCACTGACATTTATCCACATTGCTGCATGGCCCTGTGGCTCATCCTTTTCCTAGCTGGATATAATATTCTATTGTAGAAATGTGGCACAATTTATCTATTTTACCATTGATGAACATTTTGGTTATTTCCAGTTTGGGGTTATTCAATTAAAGTTGTTATAAACATTTTTGTGCATGTATTTTGGTTAACATATATACTCATTTCTGTCAGTTATATACCAAGGAGTAGAAGTCCTAAGTCATAGAGTATACATATCTGTGGCTTTACCAGACAAAGCAAATGATTTTCCAAAGTGGATTACCAGAATCTCCTCCAATGAGAATCTATACTAGTTCCAGTTATTTCTTTTCCTCATTTTCACTTCATATTTACAGTCTTTTTAATTTTAACCACTCTGGCAAGAGTACAGTGATATCTAATTTTTATTTTAATAATGCATTTCACTATTGATTATTAATATATATATACCTTAAAATGCTTACTTGAAATTTGGTTATCTGCTTTTATAATAAGTCTTTTACCTTTATTTGGGAGATTATCCATCTTTTTCTTATTGGTTTATAGGATTTCCTTATATTTTTTTCATGCGGTCCATTGTCAGATATGGACGGACACACACACACACACACACACACACATATATGTTACAGTCATTTCTATGGCTTTTCTGTTTTACTCTCTTAATGGAATCTTTTGATAAACAATTTCTTAATTTTAAGGAAATCCAATCCATGAAAGTTTTTTCTTTTCTTTTTTTGCTCAGTGCTTTTTCTCAGTAATAAAACTATTCCTTGATGCCTTCCCAAAGAATTTTCTGTTTGTTTGTCCTTTCACATTCAAATGAATGTAAACATTCATATGAAATTTGTTTTTTGTTTTTGTTTTTTTTTTGTGGTGTGAGGTAGAGATCAAGATACATTTTTTTCCATGTGTGGATAGCCAGTTGGCCCAGCATCATTTATTTAAAAGAGCATACATTTTCAGTAGTGTCTTGTTTTATAAGTAAGGTGACATATTAATATATGTGTGAGTCTGTTTCTGGATATTTTATTCTGTACCATTAGTTTGTGCCTCTATCCTGTGCCAATACTACACAAGGATAGAGGCATAGACTACAAGCATAGACTACTGGAATTCTTAAAGAGATGGGGATACCAGACCACCTTACCTGCCTCCTGAAAAATCTGTGTGAAGGTCAAGAAGCAACAATTAGAAGTGGACATGGAACGATATACTGGTTCCAAATAGGAAAAGGAGTACTTCAAAATTGTATATTGTTACCCTGCTTATTTAACTTGTATGCAGAGTACATCATGTGAAATGCCAGGCTGGATGAAGCACAAGTTGGAATCAAGATTGCCAGGAGAAGTATCAATAACCTCAGATATGCAAATGACACCACCCTTATGGTAGAAAGCAAAGAATAACTAAAAAGCCTATTGATGAAAATGAAAGAGGAGAGTGAAAAATCTGGTTTAAAACTCCACAGTCGGAAAACAAAGATCATGGCATAGAGTTTCATCACTTCATGGCAAATGGATGGGGAAACAATGGAAACAGTGACAGACTTTATTTTCTTGGGCTCTAAAATCACTGCAGATGGTGACTACAGCCATGAAATTCAAAGATGCTTGCTCCTTGGAAGAAAAGTTATGACCAACCTAGACAGCATATTATAAAGCAGAAACTTTACTTTGCCGACAAAGGTCCGTATAATAAGAGCTATGGTTTTTCAGTAGTCATGTACAGATGTGAGAGTTGGATCATAAAAATTGGACCAAAAATTGATGCTTTTGAACTGTGGTGTTGGAGAAGACTATTGAGAGTCCCTTGGACTGCAAGGAGATCCAATCAGTCAATCCTAAAGGAGATCAGTCCTGAATATTCATTGGAAGGACTGATATTGAAGCTGAGACTCCAATACTCTGGCCACCTGATGTGAAGAACTAACTCATTTGAAAAGACCTGATGCTGGGAAAGATTGAAGGCAGGAAGAGAAGGGTTCGACAGAGGATGAGATGGTTGGATAGCATCACTGACTCGATGGATGAGAGTTTGAGCAAGCTCCGGGAGTTGGTGATGGACAGGGAAGCCTGGTGTGCTGCAGTCCATGGGATCACAAAGAATCGGATATGACTGAGCAACTGAACTGACTGACTGACAGGGATTACAATTACAATTTAGTTTTATAATTAATTTGATTTAGCATATCTTTAAGTTCTGCAATTTTTTGCTGTTCTTCAAGACTATTCAAGACTATCTTAGCTATTCTTGGCTCTTCAAATTTCCATATAAATTTTAAAATTGGTTTCTAAATTTCTACCAAAAAAAATATTGCTGAAATTTTGATTGTAATTATATAGAATCTATAGATAAATTGAAAGTGAAAGTGAAGTCACTCAGTTGTGTCCGACTCTTTGCGACTCCATGGACTGTAGCCTACCAGGATCCTCAGTCCATGGGATTTTCCAGGCAAGAATACCGGAGTGGGTTGCCATTTCCTTCTCCAGGGGATCTTCCCAATCCAGGGACTGAACCTGGGTCTCCCGCATTGTAGGCAGACACTTTACCATCTGAGCTACCAGGGAAGCCCCATAGATAAATTTGGAGATTAACAATATCTAAACAACATTGAGTTTTCCAAGTCATGAACATTTTTATCCCTATTTGTATTTAGATCTTATTTAATTTTTCATAAACATGTTTTGTAGTTTTCTGTAGTTTTGTGCATCTTTCATCAAATTTATTCCTAGGTTTGATATTTGATATTTTTGATGCTATTGTAAATAAGATAATTGTTAATTTGATTTTCTAATTCATTACTAACAGTATATAGAAATACAATTCATTTATAGATTGAACAATGTGCAGGTTAGGGGCACAAGTCCCCTGCACAGTTGAAAATTCAGGTACCGAGGGAGGGGGGACCGGGATGGGCAATACATGTAAATCCATGGCTAATTCATCTCAATGTATGACAAAAACCACTGCAATGTTGTCAAGTAATTAGCCTCCAACTAATAAAAATAAATGGAAAAAAAAATTCATGTACTGCTATCCCTCAAAAGCAAAGGAATTGATAAATGACTCACCCAAGGACAGATTGCTGGGAGAAATATCAACAACTTCAGATATGCAGATGATACCAGTCTAATGGCAGAAAGTGAAGAGGAACTAAAGAGCCTCTTAACGAGGGTGAAAGAAGAGAGTGAAAAAGCTGGCTTAAAACTCAACATTCAAAAAATGAAGATCATGGCATCCAGTCCCATCACCTCACAGTGGCAGGCAAATAGATGGAAGAAAAGTATAAACAGATTCTGTTTTCTTGGGCTCCCAAATCATGGCAGATGGTGACTTCGGCCATGAAATTAAAAGATACTTGTTCCTGAGGAGAAAAGCTATGACAAACCTAGATAGCAAATTAAAAAGCAGAGACGTCACTTTGCCAACACAAGTTTGTGTAGTCAAAGCTATGGTTTTTCCAGTAGTCATGTATGTATGTGAGAGTTGGACCATAAAGAAGTCTGATCACCAAAGAATTGATGCTTTCAATCTGTATGGTGCTGGAGAGGACACTTGAGAGTTCATTGGACTGCAAGAAGATCAAACCAGACAATCCTAGAGAAAACCAATCCTTAATATTCACTGAAAGAACTGATGCTGAAGCTGAAGCTCTATTACTTCACAACAGCCGCCTGTTGTGAAGAGCCAGCTCATTGGAAGAGACCCCCTTATGCCGGGAAAGCTCGTGGGCAGGACGAGAAGAAGGTGGCAGAGGGTGAGCTGGTTGGATGGCATCATCAATTCAGTGGACATGAATTTGAGCAAACTTCAGGAGATACTGAAGGAGAGGGAAGACTGGCACACAGCAGTTCATGGGGCTGCAAAGAGTCGGACACGACTGAGAGACGGAACAGCATCCATGAAGGGCAGGAAGCTGCAACAGTTCAGATAGATAGATTCAGGACTGAAACCCTTCCTTGGATTTTCCCTCTCATAGTCTTAAACTCCAGTCTCTGTCTCCATGTGTGTTGTTTACTTGTTAAGTCATGCCTGACTCTTTGCGACCCCATGGACTACAGCATGCCAGGCTCCTCTGTCCTCCACCAAATCCCAGAGTTTGCTCAAATTCATGTCCACTGAGTCAGTGATGCTCTCTTATCATCTCATCCTCTATCACCCCTTCTCCGTTTGCCTTTAATCTTTCCCAGCATCAGGGTCTGAGTGTAACAAGTCTCAAATTCCAAATTCTACTTCCCAGAACAGCATGACTACTCCAATCTTTGCTCAGCTCTTGAGGCTTCTTCTGCTTTCTGGGCTTTCTTGGAATCTTGAGCTACTCATGTAGAGTTTAAGAGCCGGCTATCACCTTAAGGGAAGTTCATGCAGATATTTGAACTCATTTCTCTATGGTTCCTTCTTTCCTTGGATTTTCCCCCTTAAGGAATTAAGCTCCAATCTCTGTCTCCTCAGCCAATTGATGCTGCCACTTGCTGCTTGGACTCTATTCACTGTACCACGAATTGACAAGGGCCCTTGGGGGAAGGCCTTGGATAAATGAGGGGGTTATCGCAGTATGCTTTACATTGCTCAGGATATGTATCCCCTCACCTTCTGACTGCATTCTTTAATTCATTCAAATGGCTGTTTTATGTACTTTGTCCAGTTTTTATATTTGATTGTAGAGATGGCCTAGCCTGATACAAACGATTCCATCAAGGCCAGATCCTGAAATCTGGGCAGCTTTTCCCCTTTCTTCTATATTTTATGATTACAAAAAGATTCCCATGAAAAGCCTAAAAGTTTTTACTGGAACTGACCCTCTGGCAGGAAACAGTTCTAAACTCTGAGCAACAAAATAAAACAAATGAATGAACAATCAGATGGCCCTGGAGAGTGAATAACACCAAGCAAATTCTGGAGGGGGTGTTGACATTTGGAAGAAGGGAAAGACAAGAGGCAATTTTCTCATTCGATCATTTTTGGTCTGAGGGCCATCACCAGATGGTCAATACCGAAACCAGACTGATTATATTCTTTACAGCTGAAGATGGAGAAGCTCTATACAGTCAGCAAAAACAAGACTGGGAGCTGACTGTGGCTCAGATCATTAACTCCTTATTGCCAAATTCAGACTTAAGTTGAAGAAAGTAGAGAAAATCACAAATGGCAACCCACTCCAGTGTTCTTGCCTGGAGAATCCCAGGGACGGGGGAGCCTGGTGGGCTGCCGTCTATGGGATCACACAGAGTCAGACACGACTGACGTGACTTAGCAGCAGCAGCAGCAGAGAAAACCACTAGACCATTCAGGTATGACCTAAATCAAATTCCTTACGATTATACAGTGGAAGTGACAAATAGACTCAAGGGATAGACAGAGTGCCTGAAGAACTATGGATGGAGGTTCGTGATATTGTACAGGAGGCAGGGATCAAGACCCATCCCCAAGAGAAAGAAATGCAAAAAGGCAAAATGGTTGTCTGAGGAGGCCTTACAATTAGCTGAGAAAAGAAAAGAAGCTAAAGGCGAAGGAGAAAAGGAAAGATATAACCATTTGAATGCAGAGTTCCAAAGAATAGCAAGGAGAGATAAGTAAGTCTTCCTCAGTGATCAGTGCAAAGAAACAGGAAAACAATAGAATGGGAATGACTAGAGATCTCTTCAAGAAAATTAGAGATACCAAGGGAACATTTCATGCAAAGATGGGCTCAATAAAGGACAGAAATG